AGAAAGAGAAACCCCATCTGAGTGGCTTCGAGTTGAGGATGTCAAAAAATTACTTAATGAAGAATGGGAGAGGAGTGATGCTATGATGAAAGAGATGTTGAAAACAATGAGCCCACAAAGATTTGTCAGAAGAGGAGAAAGTTTAGATGTACCTCTGAATTGTATGTGTACATTTTTGCAATACATTTATTTTGATCTCAGTGGCTTATACTCACTTTAATTCCCTCATTATGATTTTGCTTGCAGTAAGTGGAGAAGTGATAAATACAGAATTATTTATCAACAAACGCAAGCTGAAAGATGCACTTGAGAGGGAATGGAATCGTCGGGAAGCAATAGACAATGCTAGGATCCAGTATAAACTAAAATGCCTGGATGCCAGTGGTAAGTACAGAAAACATTATATGATTCACTAATTTGGAAATGTTTCTCTGAGAGTGGCTGGTAGCTAAAAAAGTTCTGTGCTGCCAACAAACAGATTGCAAATTCAACTGCCAAGTCAAGTACTTAAGTTTCTTTTGAAATAAATGTCAAAAATGTCAGAAAACCAAAGCTTTGTATTATTTTCTTATAGCAGAGATGTCCTCATGTGCTGATGAAGAGGACATAAAGATGTCTTGTGCTAAAGTGAATGACTGGCATCAGAGGCAACATTTATCAGACTATGGAAGTGTTTCCAGCTATGAAGAACATGACAAGACTGAACAGGATAGAGATTAATCATGAAGACGATCTGAAAATGCATGTTTTGGCCATTTTTATCTTTTATCATGCACTGTTTATTATACAATGCATGTCATTTTCGTACAAAAAGATTGTACTTTTTTATTATCTTTCACTTCTTTGATCCATTAATCTGCTTTAACAAGCACTAGCTGGGTGCCGACTGAGCCAAATTTTGCCAATCCTAAAAGAATCCTCTGATCCTAGGAAATCTGTCTTTAAACGTTAGTTTGACATGTTGACTGACAGCCGATTAATTTTACTATCACATTTTAATTGTTGCAGTCACATTTTACCTCCGACGAAATTCTGGCCGTGTCAGAAGATTTGACTCGCAGTCCTGCAGTCCTGACCTACGACAACCATCAAATTGTCTTTGTCAAAGTGTCAATTCTTTGTGGAATTGTCTTCCACAGGTTTTTCAAGACAAGCCGTGACCAAAATGAACGTTAGAGATTTCTTTGTAACACCATTTCAATCCCGTGTGTAACGCAGCTCACTGTCACCGAACGTGTCATTGATTGATGATGTAAAACTCCGGACAAGTTTTCTTGCATGCATCTGTTTTTAACGCGTCTTGACTGTCGTACAGCCTGACATTAATGACAACTGAGATCTTACAGTGTGACATGGCTTACAGCGATGTTCACGTTTGTACAGTCTGACAAGCAACAATCGTAAAGGACGATAATAAATCGCACAGTGTGTACCCGGTTTCACAGACATTAAGATTAGGCCTAATGCCATCAGGACATTTAAGAGGTGGTTGTTTATGATTTCACTTTTTGAACTTAAAGCTGCAGTCCGTAGCTTTTTTTGGGTTAAAAATTATCCAAAATACATATTTGAGAAAATACATAACCAGCCAGTGTTCAAAACTATCTGCTTGCCTTAGCTCGATTCAAAGCGGTAAGCTTGTAATAATGTTTTTAATTCCAGTGGGACTGGTGGATTTCCGCGGGAGATTCAAGCATGTCTTTGCGTCATTACGTCACATCTGTACACATAAAGAAGAGTCTCGGCTAGTAGGCTATATTGAGTCATTACGTCACCTCTGTACACATAAAGAAGAGTCTCGGCTAGTAGACTATATTGAGTCATTACGTCACATCTGTACACATAAAGAAGAGTCTCGGCTAGTAGGCTATATTGAGTCATTACGTCACCTCTGTACACATAAGAGTCTCGGCTAGTAGGCTATATTGAGTCATTACGTCACATCTGTACACATAAAGAAGAGTCTTGGCTAGTAGGCTATATTGAGTCATTACGTCACCTCTGTACACATAAAGAAGAGTCTCGGCTAGTAGGCTATATTGAGTCATTACGTCACCTCTGTACACATAAAGAAGAGTCTGGGCTAGTAGACTATATTGAGTCATTACGTCACCTCTGTACACATAAAGAAGAGTCTCGCTAGTAGACTATATTGAGTCATTACGTCACCTCTGTACACATAAAAAAGAGTCTCGCTAGTAGACTATATTGAGTCATTACGTCACCTCTGTACACATAAGAGTCTCGGCTAGTAGGCTATATTGAGTCATTACGTCACCTCTGTACACATAAAGAAGAGTCTCGGCTAGTAGGCTATATTGAGTCATTACGTCACCTCTGTACACATAAAGAAGAGTCTCGGCTAGTAGGCTATATTGAGTCATTACGTCACCTCTGTACACATAAGAGTCTCGGCTAGTAGGCTATATTGAGTCATTACGTCACCTCTGTACACATAAAGAAGAGTCTTGGCTAGTAGGCTATATTGAGTCATTACGTCACCTCTGTACACATAAAGAAGAGTCTCGGCTAGTAGGCTATATTGAGTCATTACGTCACATCTGTACACATAAAGAAGGAGTCTCGGCTAGTATGCTATATTGAGTCATTACGTCACATCTGTACACATAAAGAAGAGTCTCGGCTAGTAGGCTATATTGAGTCATTACGTCACCTCTGTACACATAAGAGTCTCGGCTAGTAGGCTATATTGAGTCATTACGTCACCTCTGTACACATAAAGAAGAGTCTCGGCTAGTAGGCTATATTGAGTCATTACGTCACCTCTGTACACATAAAGAAGAGTCTCGGCTAGTAGGCTATATTGAGTCATTACGTCACCTCTGTACACATAAAGAAGAGTCTCGGCTAGTAGGCTATATTGAGTCATTACGTCACATCTGTACACATAAAGAAGAGTCTCGGCTAGTAGGCTATATTGAGTCATTACGTCACCTCTGTACACATAAAGAAGAGTCTCGGCTAGTAGGCTATATTGAGTCATTACGTCACCTCTGTACACATAAAGAAGAGTCTCGGCTAGTAGGCTATATTGAGTCATTACGTCACCTCTGTACACATAAAGAAGAGTCTCGGCTAGTAGGCTATATTGAGTCATTACGTCACCTCTGTACACATAAAGAAGAGTCTCGGCTAGTAGGCTATATTGAGTCATTACGTCACATCTGTACACATAAAGAAGAGTCTCGGCTAGTAGGCTATATTGAGTCATTACGTCACCTCTGTACACATAAAGAAGAGTCTCGGCTAGTAGGCTATATTGAGTCATTACGTCACCTCTGTACACATAAAGAAGAGTCTCGGCTAGTAGGCTATATTGAGTCATTACGTCACCTCTGTACACATAAAGAAGAGTCTCGGCTAGTAGGCTATATTGAGTCATTACGTCACCTCTGTACACATAAAGAAGAGTCTCGGCTAGTAGGCTATATTGAGTCATTACGTCACTTCTGTACACATAAAAAAGAGTCTCGCTAGTAGACTATATTGAGTCATTACGTCACCTCTGTACACATAAGAGTCTCGGCTAGTAGGCTATATTGAGTCATTACGTCACATCTGTACACATAAAGAAGGAGTCTCGGCTAGTAGACTATATTGAGTCATTACGTCACCTCTGTACACATAAAGAAGAGTCTCGGCTAGTAGGCTATATTGAGTCATTACGTCACCTCTGTACACATAAGAGTCTCGGCTAGTAGACTATATTGAGTCATTACGTCACATCTGTACACATAAAGAAGAGTCTGGGCTAGTAGGCTATATTGAGTCATTACGTCACATCTGTACACATAAAGAAGAGTCTCGGCTAGTAGGCTATATTGAGTCATTACGTCACATCTGTACACATAAAGAAGAGTCTCGGCTAGTAGGCTATATTGAGTCATTACGTCACATCTGTACACATAAATACTCAATATAGTACACATAAAGACTCAATATAGCATACTAGCCGAGACTCTTCTTTATGTGTACAGATGTGACGTAATGACTCAATATAGCATACTAGCCGAGACTCCTACTGAATGACAGTATCCACACCGGCGCGGCGACTGACAGCTGCACAGCACACTCTCCTACTCTCCTCAAACATTGTGTTCATCCGCGCTGTGCCGTGTCGAGGGTGTTGAAGTACTACTCACGTAAAGTTGATAATTCCGCGAATGACTGAGATGGCGACAAAGAGGAAAAACGCCGGACTGCAGCTTTAAGTTAGTGTGTAATGTTGCTGTTTGAGCATAAACAACATCTGCAAAGTTACGACGCTCAAAGTACAAAGCAAAGGGAGATATTTTCTTTTAATTTTGCTTTTTAAGGACTAATCGGCTGGTAGGGACTACAGGACATTCCTCCCGGGTTAGTGGCATCACTAACCCTAAAATTTACATAAACCCTCATGACAGAATATGCTAATCAATTACTAGAAGATAACTACACATAAGCGACATAAATTCATCAGCTAACCATTCAGAAATGTTGTCTACATGTTGTCCCTTCTTCTTGAGTCTATCCATCTTTGTCTGACTCCAGTTTGAACATAAGTTTTTGAAATTTTCAGGACACAAGCTGTTGTAGCTCCGCCCCCTGTGCTGGGAGCAGCAGCTCATTTGCATTTAAAGGGACAGACACAAAAAGTTAAACGTTTTTTAAAAGTTAAACTGACATATTTTAAAATATGTCAGTGCAAGTTGCTTAAAGTTAAAACAGCTCATACAAACAATTTAGTACGTGACTAGACTTGAGCCTTGTCTGTGAAACCGGGGGTAAGTATTTCTATACAGCACACAAAAGTTATTCAAAGTAAAATTTGGATGAACTCCGTTTACATATGTACAGTAATTGATGCTTTTGAAATATCAATATTAATAATACATTTTTATAAAAAGGCAAATCATTTTGTAAAGATAAATGTCAAATAATCTGTTAAATCGTGTGATCTGTCAGCTTGTCTTCACTTCACTGTATTCAGCCAGATGTTTTCACAGTCTGTTGTTTGATCTTCTGGCTGGAGGGACGGAGGCAAAACTCACAGCTGCATAATTCACATCTGAATCTCCAATCTGTAAAAAAAAATGCATAGCTTATTTATTTATTTTTTTAGCTTGAGAAGCAAAGTTTGACATTTGAAATAGTTCATGGATTAGAAGTACATATTATAGTACAGAAGAAAATTGATTTTGTGTTTTTGAAAATTACCTCACATGACGGAGATGCTAGATTTGTAGATCCTTCAAAATTTGCAGAAAATTATAGTTAAACTTTGACATACACATTTGTGATTGGATATTTAAAGAGTTTGTACAACATATTTGTATATTAAACTGTATACGACTTTTTATGGATCAATAGCCTATTCAATTAAACTCTGCTTAACTGATGGAAAGTGTGGGTGGAATTGTACCTCTATGCCTGTTTCCCCAGCGTTTGCAGTGAACAACCAGGAGTGTGACAATTACTATCACAAAAACAACATTGGAGGATATCAAGCAAAGTAACACAGGATCCCATACTTTTTGATTGTTGCTGTCTGAAATGGTGAAAAAGATCCAAAAATAATTTAATAAAGCACATTCTGCTCATAGTAAAAATGTGTTATTAAAATACTGTGAATATACACTAGAACGGCTAGCTATGTGTTGTGAATATACTTTTCCGAAAAAAATATTTTAACACTTAAACAATATACTTTAGATTTAGCATTAGATAACAAAGTGTCAAACACAGTGGGACTCGTTTTAGTGCAAGCACACTTTTCAAGCAAAAGATTTTCACAAAAACATTTAGATTATGATAACTTGAAGAGAACTGACTTCATACATTTACTAAAAAAAACATCTTGTGAATTGTTGGTGAAACTTTGCGGTGCTTGTTTGCAGAATCCACTTGGTTGGATATTTTGTTGTGTAATGCAATGAAATTTCATGCTATTTTAAGCGTCGCTTAAGGATGCAAATACTTTTTAGGGCCACTTGTGACTGTCACCAAAGCAGGTTAACAATAAGTCATAGTAATTTAATGAATAATTACCGTTATTCTTAAAAGTGGTTCCATTCACAACTTGTGTCTCCCCACATGCCACATTAAAGTCTTTAGATTCAGTTCCTTTGAAATAGCAAATGAACATGTCAAGACTCTTTTGGTTTGAAACAAGGAATGTTAAATGTTAAAGTAGTTTACTCCAACACAAAATCTTTAAAACTCTAGCAAATTGAATCTATTTTACCTTTTAGCATCAGATTCGCTCCGGAGATGAATTGTATTAAATTCAAGAACACCGTCCCACAATAGTACATTCCGGCGTCCTCCTTGGACATAGCTGTGATGTTCAGATGAAAAGATCCTTGGCTTGCTGAAATATTGAATCTCCCATTTTTAAATTCATCCTTAAAATCTATATGTTCCCAATAAGTGTATGCAATAGGCCGAGGGATCTGTCCAATTCTCTGTTTATACCAAACCATCGTGTTGCCAAAACTTTCTATCGAGAAGCATTTGATTGTAACATCATCTCCCAGCTGGAATGTTTGTAACAAGACATTTTCACCACTGTGATCAGGTTGGACTCCAGCTAAAACAGAACGGTGAGGTTTCATTTAAACACTAAATATATGCATACATGGAACTGACTAATAAATACATATTTAGACAGTGGAAAAAGGGGGGAAAAAACTACTTACAAGCCCAAAAGATCAAAATGGCCCAAATGATCATGTTTGAAGCAATGGATGTGTGAAAATACTTTTTAGAAGACGTGCATGTTATGTGATTGGTCACTTTCAAACCAAGACTTGAAAAAGAGTGTGATTGGTTGAAATCAACCTGGTGTCTCTCACCCCACTCCCAAATTGGAGCAAAAGTCTTACTAAAGAAATGAGGTGAGGATCAATGCCTTTGTCACTATATTCTCTGCAAAAATAATCTGGTTTTGTTGAGCTAAATTGCGTTGCTCATGGCCAAATTTACATTGAAATATACACAGACAAATGTGAATGTACATTACAAGTCACTGGTAAATCTCACAGAGAGACTAAAGTACTCAAAAGAGCCTTTTTAATTCCCAACAAATGACATCAAAGGGCCAAAAAAAGGAAAGACTGAATAAAAAAAGTGAATTTAACTAGACATGTGTTCATGTGTGGGTATTGGCTAATGTCAAAATCTTCTCCACGACAAGTATATGAACAGACCTGGAATCAAGAGAGTCCAAAAACTAAAACTGCAGTGAAAATCCTATATCTATCCGTCTGTCCATTCTTCCATCAATGTTAATATTTTTGATCTCCTCTACCTTTAAGATAAATCAAAGACTTCACACAATGAATACAAAAAGCACATACAATATGTGAACTTGTCACAAATCTTTTTTGTGTTGTTTGTTTTGTTTTGATGAAGTGCTGCATTGTGTGAAAACAGTTTGTGGTTTTCTTGTTTTTCTAAAGATGGCTATATCAAAAAACGACCACCAACCACATCATCACCATATAAAGTAATCATAAAAAACAGGTCACAGCAGGACGGACAAACATCCTGTGTGCACATGTGAGTAAAAGTGCAAGCGCAATTCTTACATCATAAGGTATGACTGCCTGAAGTGTTTCACGACCACAGTGTTAATTCATCGGAAAAGTACGAATGCACGAGATCATTGCATATTCAAGTGTGCATGAGTGGGTGTTTGAGGCAACCACATATATCACACATGTGACTGTGGAGCAAAACGGTAACCTTTTGGAAAAAAAAAATAGATCACTAGATTTGACTATATAGAAATTAGGTAATATTTTCTTCTCAACTTTACATTGAGTATGTCATTATACACAAGAGCACACTTATAGATGAGAATCCACATATCAAACAGAGTTTTCAGTTGTTGTTGTTTGTTCGTGGGTCTTTCTGCCTATAGTTTTGCCTTCAAATGCATGCTCGATCGGATTGAGATCAGATGATTGACTCGGCCATTGCAGAATTTTCCACTTCTTTTCCTTAAAAAACTCTTGGGTTCCTTTTGCAGTGTGCTTTGGATCATTGTCCATCTGTACCGTGAAGTGCCTTCCAATCAACTTTGCTGCATTAGGCTGAATCTGGGCAGACAGTATATTCCTATACACTTCAGAATTCATCCGGTTGCTTCTGTCTTCTGTCACATCATCATAAACACCAGTGATCCAGTGCCACTGGAAGCCATGTCCATGCCATCACACTGCCTCCACCATGTTTTACAGATGGCGTTGTATGCTTTGGATCATGAGCTGTCCCGTCATTTTGGTACAGGTTGATCTTAGTTTCATCCGTCCAAAGAATGCTTTTCCAGAACTGGTCAGGCTTTTTTAGATGTTTTTTTTTTTTGGCAAAGTCTAATCTGGCCTTTCTATTCTTGATGCTTATGAATGGTTTGCACCTTGTGGTGAACCCTCTGTATTTGCTCTCTCGTGAAGTCTTCTCTTGATTGTAGACTTTGACAATGACATGCCTACCTCCGGAGAGTGTCCTTCACTTAGCTGGATGTTGTGAATGGGTTTTTCTTTATCATGGAGAGGATCCTGCGATCATCTACCACTGTTGTCTTCCGTGGACGTCCAGGCCTTTTTATGTTGCTGAGCTCACCAGTGCATTCTTTTTTTCTCAGAATGTACCAAACTGTTGATTTGGCCACTCCTAATATTCCAGCTATCTGTCGGATGGATTTATTTTGTTTTTGAAGCCTAATGATGGCCTGTTTGACACGGAGAGCTCCTTTGAACGTATGATTCACAGGTTCACATAGATTCCAAATGCAAATACCACACTTAGAATCAACTCCAGACCACTCCAGACCTTTCACCTGCTTAATTGATAAAGAAATAACGAAGGAATAGCCCACACCTGTCCACGAAACCCCTTTTGATTCAATTGTCCAAATACTTTTGGTCCCTTGAAAAAGGGGGGTTTGCTACTCTCAAGAGCTGTAATTCCTAAACCCTTCCTCCAATTTGGATTTAAATACCCTCAGATTAAACCCGAGAGTGTGCACTTTCACCCCATGTCCATTATATAACAATAGCTTGAATATGTTTTGGTAAATACCTGAAAAAAATATAAATGTGTCCAAATATATATGGACCTAACTGTACACACACACACACACACACACAAAAAAAAAAAATATGCCATCTTCTTGGTGTTATTTAAAATGAATTAATTGATTGTCCTGTAGTTATGTTCTGTAAAATTAATAAAATCTCAAATAAACTCAACCAAAATAGTACATTTTAAAAAGAAAACTATGAATAAAGTTTAATAAAATAACAAATGTAAAATTATTATTTATAAATTATTATTTAATTTTGCTTTATGCTATAAAACATGTTTAATTTTTTTAAGCTTTAGCTCCCTCTTGAGGATGGATCCAGCTAATGATAAATACAATAACCAACAAAACAGAGCATTAAAGTCCCCGTGAACCGGAAGTTGCAAACTACTTTTCTCCAGTGTTGTGACGTATTTCCGAGAGAAACGGAATACTAAATGAGGCAAAATAGTGGGCGTGGCTTTTTTTCCAACTAGCACCTGATTGGATCTAGAAAAGTAGGTGTTGTCATTCAGCCTGTCTGCTGTCAGTTGGAGGGGCGTGGTTACGGATGTTAAGCAGACACCCAAACCGTAAAGCCTACGTCATCGGGCAAGGTCCTCCAATGCAGAGGGGAGGGGAAATTTCAGATTTTGATTAAAGATTATGAAGCCAAAAAATTTTTTTTGTGTGGATTGACTAGCATGGATGAATTGTTCACCACAAAACATTAACAATCAATTTAGGCAAACAAAGTAAGTATGGTCAATTTTGAATTCATGGGGACTTTAAAAGGGATAGTTCACCCAAAAATGAAAATTCTGTCATCATTTACTCGACCTCATGTCCAGAGGTGGGTAGTAACGAAGTACATTTACTTCGTTACATTTACTTGAGTATTTTTTTGGAAATTTTTTACTTTTAAGAGTAGATTTAATTGTGGGTACTTTTACTTTAACTCAAGTACATTTCTAATGAAAAAACTGTACTTTTACTTCGTTACGTTGGGCGACGTTCCTCTCGTTACTTTATTTTAATGCAATATGTTGTTAAAAGCGTAGTTTATTCTAAGCGCGCGCTCTCTCTTTTTTCTGGGCATGAGCGATGCTCAATTCACAAATGAATCACTCTTTTGAGTCGATTCTGTTCAAAGACTTCATCAAACAAGTTGGGCAGATCTGTCTAAATCGGTTCGCGAATCAGTTTGAATGATCTGTTCAGTTTCCTGCACGCACTGAATCGTCTCGGAGTCGTAACAGGAAGATTTAAGAACTTCAAGAGCGTTGTATGAAGTGGCGGTCCACAGTCTACAGTACAGTCTAGAAAGTAAATCTGCAAATGCATCATATTTTTTTGCCAGCGATGAAGATCTTTATTAGTTGAACATCTTCGTATGTTACTTCGTAAGCTGTCTGTGAATGAATTATTCCACACGACGATACATTCTATTTCATTTCATTCAGGTAATACATTTTACAACCAAACACATTATTACGCCATATAGCACTACTACAAAGTATGGCATTACCCTTTTTTGGACATATACATTCCTTTATACATTAAATAAGCTATCATCGTCCAGTTTACTAATGTGTGCACACACACAATGTGTGTGTATTGCGCAGTGGCGTGCGAACTCGACTTGAAAACGAATGCCTTTGCCTGCCTTATTAGACTCAGTTAACCAGTTTAAAGATGCTTTCATAAATATAGCCTACATTTATACATTTTGGAGAACAGACAGAAGAAGATCCGTGCATTTGATCGTTGTTTGTGTTGGGCATGACATGACTGCGAGCACATGTGAAGAGTTTTAACACTTTCTAATCTGTGTCAATGGTTCCCATCCCTTTATGAATGCATAACTCCATAGAGTCACTTTATTCCGACATTGTCTAATAATCCAAATGTAGTTGTATAAGTTACTATACTATTATACAAACCAAAGGACAGGCAATGGTTTTCGGGCTACAGAGATAATATACAGATATACAGAAATAATGTTTTGTCTCTTCTGTTTTTGTTGCAAAGATAGCTTATCTAATTATGATGATAATAGTAATTTAAATTACAAAAATATATAAATAATATCATGATATATATATATATATATACTGTAGGCCTATGTGATCCAAAGTAACTAGTAACTAACTACTTGAGTAGTTTTTTCATTGTATACTTTTTTACTCTTACTCAAGTAACTTTTGAGATTATTACTTTTACTTTTACTTTGAGTAAATATTTCTATAAGTACTTGTACTTTTACTTGAGTACAGTTTTTGGATACTCTACCCACCTCTGCTCATGTCGTTCCAAACCCGTAAGACTTTCGTTCATCTTCTGAACACAAATAAAGATCTTTTTGATGAAATCTGAGAGCTTTCTGTCTACGCAACTACTTTGACGCTTTAAAAAGTTCATAAAGAGATTGTAAAACTAATCCATATGAATTGAGCAGTTTAGTGCAAATTTTCTGGAGAGCCTCGATCACTTTATATTACGAAGTCTAAATTCAATCTGTTCATGATATAAACCGATCGTGTCTCTTCAGAAAATGTAAAACTGCTCAATTCATATGGAATAGTTTTACGATCCATTTATGAACTTTTTGAACTTTAATTCATCTTTCCAAGTTAAAGGGTTAGTCCAAAAAAAGATAAATTCTCCCTGAAAGGTGTTAAAACTAACAAGGATTAAAACATTTGAATTAAAATGTCAAAATAGCATTAAATGGTACAGACCAAACAATTCTCAGATAAATCAACATGTGGCGTCTGGTACAGTTTGGTTTCACTTTATCAGTTTATTA